GGGCCCGCTCGAAATCAGCGTGGCGAACAGCATTCCGAACCGAGCCCAGCACGTCGAGGACCCAGGGGGAGGGAGCCACGGAAGCAACGACCGAGCCAGGGACCACAGGAACCGTGGGCAAGGGCGGCGGTCGCCGAAAGGCGAGAGACTTAAGCTTGCCAACTGACGGGTGGAGCATCACGGCCACAGGGAAATGGGGCGTGAGATTGGTCTCACGAACCACTTTAACAGACGCCACCCCTTTGGCCAGGTCAGAAGAAAAAACGAAAAAAAATCAAACTGTTTGAGGCCAGCAGTGGACTTGCACGCGTGCCCCTCGGGCACCAAAACCTCCAGGTCCCTGCGATCCCCCAAGCCGTCAAGAAGCACAGTAGGCTCCATGTTAAAATCCGCCCCCAAGCAGAAAGGAAACCCCAGGGCCCGACCCAGGGAAACCGAGGACGACAGAATAGACACGCTTCGGTCCGAAAGGTCCTCGCAATCGTGGAAGTACGCCGAGATGGCCAGGAAGGTCGCGTTCCCAGGAAGCTCGACCAAGCCAGCGATGACGCGCCCCGCGACGACCTCGTGGCCAGAGTCAGGCTCTCGAAGTCCGAGTGCCGCTCGGACAAAAATAGCAACTCCTGCGCTGGGGCCTTCTCCTTGGCCGAGACCCGCAGGCACCCACAATGACTTCCAGCCGTGGCGAATCGCCCACGACGAACCGCTTGCCACCATGTGAGGCAGCTGTTTGTGCTCCTGCATCAGGACGACGTCGGCGTCTGTCTTCTCTAACCAGAGCTGCCCAGACCCCCACCCCGAAACATTACAGGTCTCTATGCGTGGGACAAATGAGTCCGCGGGGAAGGACTCAGGAGGCAGAGGAGAGGAGAGCCGGAGAGGAGGGGCGGGGGCCCCCCCCGCAACAGGGGGGCCCCGAAAAGTCATGAGACTGGGCTGGCGGACAGCACCCTGGAGGACCCCCTTGGCCCTCATCAAAGTGAAATCCACCGCCTTGCCTAAAGACCTCGTGGGAGACATCCTGCGAGGAGCGGGGGCATACTCGTGATCAGCGGAGGGGGCGTCAGCCTGGGAGATCCACGCAAGCGACTGCGCAAAAACTTGCTCGCTGATCGAGCTGCTCCAGAGGCAAGTGTGATAGAGCCGCACGTCGGCAAATTGTGGCGACCACCCTTCGGCGTCCCCCAGGAATGCGCCCAAGGACCGAGGGTGCGAGAGCGAGTCAGCGGGTCGACCCGCGAACCCTGAGAGACCGCCAGCACTGACAGTGTGCCGGCAAGCAAAAAAAATATTGGCGACAGAAGGGCAGCCCTCAGATGGAAGACCAGGAAGATGTGCCGCTACTCTCCGCGCACTGTTGCCTCCCACCTCTGCGCAGACGGGTCCCCAGGATGCTGGAGTCTCCGCGGCGCGAGAGTGGCAACCTAGCGTGGAGGCAGCGGCCGTAGAAGAAGTCCCTGTCGCCGATGTTGATGCACTGGTACTGGTACTCGATGGAAGAAGATACCCCCCTTCAAGCGGCGGCGCTCGAAGGGGGGGAAGCCTGGAGCACCTTCTTGGCACGTGACAGCACATCACCGTCTGAACACGAATCGGCAGATGCAGGACGGCCCGCAGGAGCAGCAGCAGCAACTGGTTCTCCCACAGGGGGACCCTCGTCAGCTTGAGCCTCTCCCGCGCCTTGACCAGGGCCGCCGCCTCCTGATTCAGGTACAGCTTCACCACCTGCACTGCCATTACCAGCTTCTTCCTTGTCAACCTTGCGCTTCTTGCGGATACGCTTGAGCTGCTCAGCCTGCGCCTCCTTGAAAGCCTTGGCCGAAGCGGCCGCCTGCCCGAAGAGATTCTGAACTGCATCCTTGATGCCACTCTGCAGGGCCGCCAGCCGCTCCTCAGCCAGACGCTTATCTTCTTCGCCCAATTCGTAATCCTCTTCGACCTCGAGTAGACTGCCCAACGAGATAGGAAGCTCCTTGCCCGCGAGAATGTCGTCGATGCTGAAGGAAGTGATGGGCTCGGGCACAGGGTCAGCAACCTTGGAGTTGAGCTTCTTGACAAGGTCCTTGTGGAGCTGGGAGGCTGTCTCCAACTCAGCTGTGAGTGCGGCCACCCGCTCGCGCTGCTCGACCACATCCGCCTGCATGCGTTCGTAGATCCCCAGCGCCTTGTTGAGTCGACCCTCGGCAGCCCGTAGGTCGTGGAAGGCGCGGTTGACCTGCTGCTCCAGAGGCGCTGGGGGTTTGACTGCATGGCTGGCCTGCACACGCTCGAGCTCCTTGCGCCAAACAGCCGCCCCTTGGAGGTCCCCGACAGAGGTGAGGGTCTCGACCAGAAGCTTGCACTTCGCCTCATCGGGGGGCTGCACTGGGGGCGGAGGGCCGCCAGAGGGCTTGCCATCATGCATAAACTGAGGCCCAGGACGCAGAGCAAGGCCGCCACCGCGCCCTTGCCCATGACCCATGAAATGACCAGGCGGGCCCGATGTGCCACTCGGCTGTGGGGCCCAGACCCCCGCGAGCGGCGCCGAACCATAGTCGAACTTTGGCATCGGGCGGTATCCCCAGCATTGCTTGCACTGGCCCCAGTTCTGCTTGTTCTTGCGACAGCCACACGCGGGGCACGTCCAGTTGGCGGCCGTAGAACGCCCACCACCTTGGCGCCATCCTCCTTGTGGCCTCTGCCATGGCCACCCGTCGCTCTCGCGCAGCTGGCGCTGAGCGGCAGGATTGGACATGGCTCCCAGTTTTTCTGAAAGAGAGGAATCGTGATGCACACTAAAACGAGCCAATGACCCGCTACAGCAATGTGCCGTTCTGAAGTCTGCTGTAGCAAGCCCAAAACCTGGGCCAGAACGGCTAGGAGAAGCAGGAGGAGGAGGAGGAAGAGGAGGAGGAGGAGGAGGAGGAGGAGGAGGAGGAGGAGCGGCAGGAGGAGGAGGAAGAGCAGGAGGAGGAGAAGGAGAGGAGGGCCAGGGGAGCAGCAGGAGGAGAAGAGGAGGAGGAGGAGGACGGGGGAGGAGAGGAGCAGAAGGAGGAGCAGGAGGAGGAGGAGGATGAGGAGGAGGAGGAGGAGAAGGAGGAGGATGAGGGGCAGGAGGAGGAGGCGAAGGAGGAGGACCAGGAACAGCAGAAGGAGCAGGAAGAGGAGCAGGAGAAAGACAAGGAGGGGGGGCAAGAGGAGGAAGAGGTGCAGGAGGAGGAGGAGGAGGAGGAGGAGGAGGAGGAGGAGGAGACGGAGGAGCAGGAAGAGGAGGAGGAGGAGGAGGAGAGGAGAAGGAGGAGGGTCGGGAACGAGGAGGAAGAGGGGCAGGAGGAGCAGGAGGAGGTGCAGGGAGGAAGAGGGATCGGGAGCAGGAGGAGGGGGAGGAGCCGAGGAAGAGGAGGAGGAGGAGGAGGAGGAGGAGGAGAGGAGAAGAGAAGGAGAAGCAGACAGGACCAGGAGGAGGAGCAGGAAGAGGGAGCAGGACGGAGGAGGAGGAGGAGGAGAAGGAGGAGGAGGAGGAGGAGGAGGAGGAGGGGGAGGAGGAGGAGGAGGAGGAGGAGGAGGGGCAGGAGGAGGAGGAGGAGGAGGAGGAGAAGGAAACAGGAGGGGGAGAGGAGGCCACGAGCAGTGCAGCAGGAAGAGGAGCAGAAGGAGGAAGAGGAGGAGGGGGGGGAGCAGGAGGAGGAGGCGGTGCAGGAGGAGGAGGAGGAGGAGCAGCAGAAGGAGCAGTAGCAGGAGCAGGAGGAGGAGGCGGAGGAGGAGAAGGAGGAGTAGGGAGGAGGAGAAGGAGAGGTTTCAAGCAAGTTCCATTTCACGTTGTGAGGTTCGGAGGAGGAGGAGGAGGAGGAGGAGGAGGCGGAGGAGGAGGAGGGATGGGAGGAGGGAGGGGCAGGGGGCACGAGACGGAGGGGGGGGGAGCACAAGTGAGGGGAGGAGGAGGAGGAGGAGGAGGAGTGAACAGGAGGAGGCAGGAGGAGGAAGAGGAGGTGGAGAAGGAGGACGAGGAGGAGGAGAAGCAGGAGGAGAAGCAGGAGGAGGAGCAGGAGTAGGAGCAGGAGCAGGAGGAGGAGGAGGAGGAGGAGGAGGAGGAGGAGGAGGAGGGGGAGGAGGAGGAGGAGGAGGAGGAGGAGGAGGAGGAGGAGGAGGAGGAGGAGCAGGAGGAGGTGGATGGGCAGGAGGAGGAGGAGCAGGAGGAGGACTGGACTGGACTGGAGCAATCGCGAACCGATGGGGAGAGTCACCCTGCCAAACACACAGAGACGACCTCGGCCTGGGCGGGGCTAACTCATGGGCCACTTGCCCACAAGAAAACGAGCCTCTCTTTATCGGTAAGGACGCATGACGTACAGGACGCAGGCTCAGGGGCTCGGGGTGGGGGAGGGGGGGGGAACAGCGACCCTGAATCAGCGATTACATCGCCGATAGATCGGCGATAGGCCCTCGATAGCGAATCCGGATTTTCCTAAGCTGGGCGAGCCATCAAGCCCATATCGGCGATATATTGGCGACTTGGGGTCGATGCATCCCCCCCATGAGCCAAGCACCCCTAACGTTGCTCCTACCCAAGCAAATGGTGTGAGAGAGGATCGCAGCTCGTGTTGTGGCCTCGGAGCTCACTCACCGGTTGCGTGGCGAGTCCAGCCCCAAGGCCTGCTCATCTTGCAGCTCGAACCTACCTGACTGCAGAAGTCTAAAGAGACAGCAAACCGCCACCCACCCCATCCACTGCTCCATGAGTTCTGACAAAAGAGCTGTGTCGTGACGTTGCCCCCACCCCCGCGCTCTGCTGAGGTGGCAACGATGGGGGGGATAGGGCTAGGGGGGGACACATCGACCTGGAATCGGCGATGCATCGCCGATAGATCGGCGATGAGCCTCCGACTGTGCGTCCGCACGTTCCTGGGCAGGTCGAGGCTACATCGGGCCCCGATCGGCGATCCATGGGCGCTTGGGGGTCGATGCGCCCCCCCTGCGCCTATCCCCCCCCCTGTCGCTGCCCCCGCTCTGCCCCGCGTGGCCTGCACCGACCTGCTCCTCAGGAGCAGCGCGAGGTGGTAGCCGATCTCGCCGTGGCCGCCGCCCTCTCGGCGCGCGGGAGGGGGGGGGGAGGGGGGCACCGCAGGCGCGCGCCGGCGCCGGCAGGAGAGCCCAGCCTCGAATCGACGAGGCGGATCGGCGATCGAAGTGGATCGGATCGGCGGAAGTCGGCGGCCGAGTCGGGAGAGGAGTCGAGTGGGCGGATATCGGCGGAGCAGCAACGCCTCCTCGAGAAGTCGGCGTCCTGAGCGGCAGCCGAAGCCGGATGAGACTGCACCGGAATCGCGTCGAATCGATTCGGAGGAATCGAAACGAGCCCTGCGCCGGCGAGCAGTGGCGTCGCGTCTAGGTCGCCTTACTTCGCGCATCGCACCCGCGATGCGCGGCGCGGGTCCCTAGGGGAACGACAACTTATATAAACAAACTCGGAGGTCCGCGCGGACCTCCGAGTTTTTCTGTTTATGTCAGTGTTCGTCTCCCTACGGTGGGGGCATTGGATACGAAGGACCCCTTGGATAAGGAATCCCGGGTCGGGAAGCCAGCGGAACTCCAATCGAGGCTTGGCCATGGACATCGCCACCGCCCACATCAGATAAGGAGACCTCCAGGGTCTGAAGCCTCCTGGGCACGTTCCTTAACCAATGCCACCACAGTACAGTTGGGCCGCTGACAGAAGGAACGCTGAATAAGGAACGAAGCCCCTTCTTGGCCCTGTAAGCGCCTCCGCGCGTCAGGAGGGCAAGAGAAACAGCACTGGAGGAACCTAAGGCACATCGAGCCCCTCCGAGCCCAAACTGTTTGTTATTTCAGCGTCTTGACTGCAGTCCCAATCCCCGCGCCCTTGCGCCGACCGCCGCGGAAGAGGAGGCGCCTCCCCCACACCCTCCCGCCCAGGGGCGCGGTGCGCCGCGCGACCGGCTGCCTTCGCGCCTCCTCTGGCGGCCCAGCTCGTCGTAGTTGGGGTGCGCTGGGCGCCTCCTCCTCCTCCTCCTCCTCCTCCTGCTCCTCCTCCTCCTCCTCCTCCTCCTCCTCCTCCTCCTCCTCCTCGTACTCCTCTCCTCCTCCTCCTCCTCCTCTACTCCTCCTCCCCTCCTCCTCCCCCATCCTCCTCTCCTCCTCCTCCTCTCCTCCTCCTCTCCGCCTGCTCCTTCTCTCCTCTCCTCCCCTCCTCTCCTCCTCCTGCTCCTCCTCATCCTTTCCCTACTCCTCATCCTCCTCCTCCTCCTCCTCCTCCACCACCTCCCACCTCCTCCTCTTCCTCGTCCTCCTCCTTGTTTACTCCTCCTCCTCTTCTCCTCGTCCTCCTCCCCTTCTCCTCCCGTCCCGTCCTCTATCCTCCTCGTCGCCTTCTCCTCCTCCTCCTCCTCCTCCTCCTCCTCCTCCAACTCCTCCTCCTCCTCCTCCTCCTCGTTCTCCTCCCCCTCCGGGGAACCGCTCGTGGTGGTGCTGAGAGACCGCTGCGGGAGTTCCCTGGAACCCTCCCGGGAAACCTTAGAAAAACCTCCGACTTAGGGGAGTTGTTCGAGGGTTTTCCCCCGCGGATCCCCCGGGGGTGGGGGTGGGGAAGCTTGGAGGGGTTTTGAAAGGGCTTCTGGGCCCAACACTTACAAACCGTACTACCTCTGACCCCCCCCCAAAAAAAATACCCTGGCGACGTACCCAAACCCTGCGCAATGCGCGGCATTAGTAAGTTGGGAGATGTTATACGGAGGTGATGACGTGACATGGGCACGTATACTTCTGCGAGCGGCATTCGTGAGGCTCGTAGCCCCCCAAGGATTGCGATGTCCCGCTCAGATCTGCCTGGTGCCTCGCTCCGCAGGACCCACCAGCAGCCCTCGAAAGTGGCGACAGTTTCGCAGATCGCAGCCCCCCAGAGACGGCGAGGTACCGCTCAGGTCCGCGCGGTGCCTCACTCCGCAGGACCCACCAGCAGCCCTCGAAAGTGGCGACAATTTCGCAGATCGCAGCCCCCCAGGGACGGCGAGGTCCCGCTCAGATCCGCGCGGTGCCTCTCTCAGCAGGACCCACCAGCAGCCCTCGAAAGTGGCGACGGTTTCGCAGATCGCAGCCCCCCAGGCACGGCGAGGTCTTGCTCAGATCCAAGCGGTGCCCCACTCCGCAGGACCCACCAGCAGCCTTCGAAAGTGGCAACCGTTTCGCAGATCGCAGCCACCCAGAGACGGCGAGGTACCGCTCAGATCCGCGCGGTGCCCCACTCCGCAGGTCCCACCAGCAGCCCTCGAAAGTGGCGACAATTTCGCAGATCGCAGCCCCCCAGGGACGGCGAGGTCCCGCTCAGATCCGCGCGGTGCCTCACTCCGCAGGACCCACCAGCAGCCCTCGAAAGTGGCGACAATTTCGCAACCCCTTCGAAAAAACACCGAGTTGAGAGGTTTTTCGGGGGGGTCCCGGGAAGATTTCTGAAATAATAGTGTTGTTTGTTTGTTGTTTTGTTTATGTGGGGCCCCAGAACTACAGAGAAACAATTCTATTGTCTGAAATGTTAGTTTTGTTGTTTTTTTCGGGGGCTCCCCACCCGTAGAAAACCTCGGAGACCGACAAACACCCAAGTTGGGTGTTTGTTCTTGGGTTCCCCCCGGAAAAAAAAGGAAACAAACCCGAGTTGTTTTTTTTGTCTGGCGTTTCACTGGTGTTTCTGGCATAAAGATGTTAAATAATGTGGGGGCACAGGACACCAGAAACAAATATGTTTTTAATATTTTAATTTATATAATATATATATATATATATATATATATATATATATATATATAATAATTGGCTGGATTACATACCTTTCGTCTTGAGAAGGCGAAAAACAAGTTCATTTTTCAAGTTCGGGAAATCCTACCAGGAAGAAGTTCATTTTTTTAAGTTCGGGAAAAAACAAAAAAAACAAGTTCATTTCCGAAGTTCGGAAATGTGTGTTTTTCCAGAATCTGAAGTTCAGAATCCAGCGTTCAGACAAAAATGAAGTTCAGTTTTTCAGGCCCCCATTCTCGCGTCACGAAGAGCTTGCAATCCAACTCCATTTTACGCTTGATAGGCGATAGGTCGCGTGCATCACCGACGTTCGGCAACTTACCGTTCATCCCCATCGTCCCCTCCCATCTTCCTTCTGATCCTCCTCCTCTTCCTCTCCCTCGTCCTCCCCCTCGTCCTCTCCTTCCTCTCCTCTTCTCCACTCCCTGGCTTCGCGCCGCGTCACCCCTGGGTCGATGCTGGGCCGAGGCGCCTCAAGCTGCGCCGCCAGGGCGCCCGAGGAAGTGCCGCCAGGAGGGTCACATCAAAGAGCCGCGAACCGCATCTCGACCTCCTCATCTTCCTCATCCTCCTCCTCCTCCCCCTTCCTCCCCCCCCGTTATACTCCTTCTCCTTCTCCACGTCGTCCTTCTTCTCCTCTCGCGTCTCCTCATCCCGCTCTTCCCTCTCCTCCTCCTACTCCTCCTCTCCCACCTCTCCTCACTCCATGTTCTCCTGCCCTCCATCCTCCCCCTACTCCTTCCCCTCCTCTTCTGTCCGCGGCCTCGGATGCGTCGGCCCAGAGGCTCGGCCCAGGGGCGTTTTTGTTCGGATGAGCTTTCGGCCCCCCACGGGGCCACCAGGCGGTTGTCGCGGCAATCCTGGAATCCTGGGCGAAAGATTTTCAGGCCCCGCCAAAAACAAATGAGAAAAAAAAACTCCACGGACGGAGGAGGATGAGAAGAAGGAGCAGCAGCAACAGCATGAGGGGGGGGAGGAGATGGCTCGCGCGTCGCCGCCCGCAGATCTGGCTCTCGCGCGCGCGTCCGGGCGCGCCCCGACTGCGCCCAGGCGAAGGCAAGCTCGGGGGGGGGCAGGGTGAGTAGATCTAGCTCAAGAGGGCGAGGCTGGAAGATGGAAGGGGAAGAGGCGGAAGAGGGCTAGGAGGGCTAAGACGTCGCGCTCGGGCGAAGGCGGCTCAGAAGGCCCTCGGCGTAGCACTGGCAGCCAGTGCCCTGCGAACTCGACTACCAATCCTGCATGCCCATCGCGAGCTCATCGAGGGACTCCGACGCGAGCGAAGGGCTGGGCGGCGGAACGAAAGCCCAGATGCTCACCATCATCGCGCCGATCACCGTGGAACTGAATGCGTTGCCGCCAAGGTCGGCCATCTGCGTCTCCGAGAACGGCGCATCCTCTGGGATCCACTCGATGGGGAACCCTTGGCACGCCAGAGACTCGATCCCGAGCATGAGGCGAGGGACGCCACGCGAGGACACCGTGTCGCCCGACGCCTTGGGACCCCTCCGGGCTTTGTCCGCGAAGAGCCAGGTTCTCATGGTCGGCGTCAGCGTTTGGCGAACGCCGTCCCAACCCTTCCCGACCCTGTCGATGCGGGGGTGCAGGTCCAACGAGGCCATGCACTTGTGCTCGTCGTCCGTCTTCGTCGTGAGGGCATGAAAGATCAGGACCTCCTTCTGGCGCCGCGGGAGCAAGTCGAACCACGGGTTCCCGACCATGCCAGGCTGCGCAACGATGTCGCTCTGGGACAAGCCGTGCTTCTGGAAGAGCTGCTTGTGAAGGCTCGGCCATCCTGGCCCAGGGGGGTCCTGCTTCTGGTTGTTCGCGGCCCGCTCGAGCTCGCGCTCGACCCTGGCGCTGGACGCAGGCTGGAGGAAAGGCGCCAGCGGCGGCGTGGGCATCTTGAAAGCCATCAACTGCTCAAAGATCTCTGTGGTGAGCCTCCGGGAGGCGAGGAAGTCCATCTTGAACGATTCGCGGTGGATCGCGATGAAGAAGCACCGAGACCGCTTCTGGGGAAGGCCGAACTCCGAACTTAACAAAATGGTGTGGTCGAGGGTATCCGCGAGGCCTACTCAGCCCTTGCAAGCGTCGACGCCCACCGATGACGCAGAGGATTTCGAGGACGCGGACGGGTGAGGAGGCGGAGGAGGAGGAGGAGGAGGAAGAAGAAGGAGATGGTGATGAGTCATGGACAAATGGCGAGGAGCGGGTGAACAAAGGACGGACGGAGCGACCCGAGCCAGGACAGCGGGCAGGATCAGGATTCCTGAGGAGGGAGAGGAGGAGGAAGAGGAGGAGGAGGAGGAGGGGGAGGAGGAGGAGGCGTAGGCGCGGGGGTCGTCGGCTGGCGCGGCCTTTCGACTACCCAGCCTCATCCATGTCGCGGTACATGAATTGGACATCGCGGCCCACGCCTTCCTGCGAAGGGCAAGCGGGGGCAAGCGGGGCCCCCGCCTTCCTCCAATCACTGTCCGCCACCACTCCTTTTCCTCCTCCTCCTCCTCCTCCTCCTGCTCCCGTCCTCCACCGTCCTCCTCCCCCTTCAGGCCCTCCTCCAGCCCATCCCCCTCCTCCGCCGCCTCCTCATCCTGGCTGCGCCCGTCGAACCTCAGTGCCGTGATCCCTCCTCCTACCCCTGTTGATTCGAGGGTCCTCATTGGCTGCGATGCCGTTGATCTCCGGCACGTTCTCAAGGATGCAGATCTTAGGCTGGCAGCGCCGAATGTAGTCCATCATGTCTTTGAAGGTCTTGCCCGAGACGCCCGCGGCATCCTCCAGCAAAGTGGCGCGCGCGTCGCCGTCAAAGGTGTTGGAGAGGCCGCTGAAGTTCTTGCACACGAAACCACACACAAAGACGTCGCTCCTCGCACACACGAAGCACGCCTTGGAATGCTCCGCACACATCCCACTGACATTCGAAAGCTCTCCGATCTCCAAGAACTGGCAGCCGCTCATGCCCTTCAGCTGGGGGCCGATGACAGTAGACAACCATTTGCGCTTGAAAGCCTCTTTCTCACAAGAGAAATGCACAGCACAATTGTCGTCGCAGCCGATCACGTTGAACAGTGCGATGTGAGCCGCCTCTGCCATCCCGCTACCAGAGCACGCCGTGGCAAGGCTGATCTTATTCTGAACGTGGGACAGCAAGTTGGCATGGCGCTCTGGCGTGAGGCGGTCGATGCACTGCTTGATGTACTGGTGGAGCACAGGTTTCGAGCCCTTGCCAAAATCAAACTGGAAATCTGATACAGTCGCCAACCTGCGCGCCGCCGGCCGTCGCATCGGCTCGGCAGCCGCCGGGCGCTTATTATTGGGCATCCCAGCGCGAACGTCGGCACTGATTCTCTGGGCCCGATGTCTGGGCCGCCAGAACGCGAGCGATCGCGCTCGAGCAAACAAAAGCTGCAATGACATGTGACATTGTGCATGTGAGGACGCGACCCGTGGTCATGGCCCATGGCCCATTGACATTGGAGGTTGGTCGAGGGAGGGGGCGGAGAGGGAAGGAACGGGGATGGGACGCGTTGAGGATGACAAGAAGCAAGAGAGGGGGAGGTGGAGAGGAAGTGCTTGGACTGAGGTGGGTGATGCTGCCCCGCCCACTTGCTAGTCCGTCCTCATCGCCTCATCGCTCCTCCCTCGCCCTCCACCTACACTGACCCCCTTCTGCACTGCGCATCAACTCTCTCTCTCTCTCTCTCTCTCTCTCTCTCTCCTCTCTCTCTCTCTCTCTCTCTCTCTCTCTCTCTCTCTCTCTCTAGTCTCGGCTCGAGAGTGCCCTGCACTCAGACCGCAGCCGCGACGCGAAGCGCCCCGCCTCGGAGTCAGACTCCCAGGCCTCGCGAGACCGGAGGGGTCCCAGCAGGACCCTACTGATTCGCGTCACCTCACTCCCCACCAGAGCGCCCGCCGCAATGGCCCCCGGTAAGCCGGAGCGCCGTCGCTCTTCCAAGCAGCCGCCGAGCTCACGTCCTGCTGCCGAAGGGTCTCTCCTCCAACGCAAGCAGGACTGCATCGCAGCTTTCAAGCAAGCGGGGTCCGACCGCCCCACGGCCGCATACAATGGACTTGCCGAGCTGAACGCGGACGAGCTTCAGGCCACGTACGACATGCACAAGACCAACACAAAGAAGCTCGGCAGTGCCTTGATCCGCATGTGTGCCGCCAACCAGATCAGCTACACGCTGGATCACCACCAGCGCAGCAAGCCTAAGCCCATTGGTGGTGACACATCACACCCACCAGCTGCGTCCGCACGTCTTCAGGCTGCGGACTCCCAATTCATTGCCTTGGACCCGGCCTTCTGGAAGGTCCCAGTCCTCGCCGAACCCACATCACTTGACGACGGCAAGACGTACAAGCCCAGTATCAGCCTCCACGACTACGAGAGCGGAGAACGGCTGCTGCAACACCACCTCGTGCAGGGTAAGCGTACCACGGGTCAGCTTGCGATTGCTGTAATGGGCCCAAAAAACGATAACTACGTCGGTACCGAGCTCGCCGCCCCCGTGCTGAAGCGTCACCCCAAGGCGCCCAAAGTGGTCCACACGCACGTCCCCGTGACCGTGTACCAGCTGGGCACCAAGGAAGTCGCCTGCACGGAAAAAGTAGCCGTCGCCACCATCGCATACCTGCGACCACGTAAACTGGATTCGGTACACCATAAAACATGAAACCGAACCCAATCGCCGCAGTCCTCGTCCAGCCGTAGCCAGAGGACTTCGAGGTATCTTCTCGGGACAGGTGCCACCCAAAGTGACTTGGAGTCCCAAACCAGCGCCGAGGCTACATTCCGAAAGCGACTCGCCATCGAGGACAAGGCAGCGACCAAAACCCGAAAGCACAGGAGATCCAAGAAAGACGCTCGCCGTCAGGACATGACTAGTCAGCTCACAGGACACCTTCATGGCCCTTTTCCACGGCAACTTTAAAGCCGTCACTATCCTCGAACCCTGCAAAAGTCTAGGCAGGTACGGATCTGGCGTCGGAAAAAGGTCCCTGGCTGCCACTTTCGGCGTCAGTCTTCAAGCAGTTGACAAGGTCTTGGCGGGTTCGGGACAACTCGGCGCCACCTACGACCTCAGCAACGTAGGTGCGGACGAGCCCACGGCAGACAAGTACCAGACCGTGTGGTTCCCCGAGGACCAGCCCATCACGATGGCAGAGGCGTTTCAGAAGTCGGTGGACTTCAAAGCCCTAGGAGTCGTTAGGCACGGCAAGTCAGGCTTATTGGGGATCCGTGTTGCACGTGGGTCAGACGCCGCCAAGGCCGCTGCCGTCAGCATCCGTGGCTGTGAAGCCACTCTCGCCAAGACGCGATACCGCATCACGG